CATTTTCAAGTTGCAGATTGTATTTCTGATTATATATATATATATATATATATATATATATATATATATATATATATATATATATATATATTGTTCATAGTTGTTTACAATGATGCAGAGTTAGACAAACTTGACTCTATGCAATAAGATTAACATCGGTAAAAACTCACTACAGGTTATAGGATCTTATAGTGATAGGGTATTGGGTTTTCCACTTATCCATAGTTACGACTTAAAAACAACAAATTCAACTAAATCTAGATATCGGATGTCTAATATGGTTATAAAGGGATATAAACATTACAAGATAAATTACGTGATATCAGATGAGGCTATGGAGAAATCTACTGAAGAAACGGAATTGGTATTTATGTTTTCACATAGAATTCCGGTCACTTATATGGTGTATTGTTCACTAATTAAAATTTAACCTCGTAAACAGAAACTGGACAATTCTAATGTAATCAATAGAACAAAGACGATCGATTATTTAGTTTTTGTTTGAAAAAAACACAGCCAATGACTTAGGATGAAAATGGTGCGTAAGGATATAAGTATATTTTTATACAGGGATACGTGTATACGAGTAAGTGGAACAGACTAAAATTTTATGTTGTTCATTGGAAAGACCAATCTACTAGAAAAAATCTGATAAACACTACATATATATGTGCACTGATGCAAAGGAAATATCAACTGATTGGTTTTTGTGTAATACTAGGTTACTTGCAATAAAAAAGTTAATTCGAATGTTGATAGCTCCCCAAAATGGTATACCAAAAGATTCAAAGGAATAAAGTTGTTGTCATTTAAATAACAAAACGAAAAAGAAACAACAGGAAAATACGTTAGATAAGAGTTATCAAAATATTTAAATGGATGTATGTAAATATTTGTGAACTGCTGAAACTTTAACATTCAATAGACTAGTGCAATCACAACTAAAATGTTGGTCCACCAACTAAGGCCAAAGTACAGGAGACAATTGTCGATGTCGTGATCAAATATTGCCATACTAATTAACTTCAAATCTCAACCCATCTTCGAAAAGTATAAAAGTATCAATCTTTTTACATAAGTTATTGATAAATTAATAACAGATTTTGGGCACACTTCGTGTTTCAAAAAAGAAGAATATGAAAAATTTATGGATTGAAGGATTACTGATGTATTACGAACATTAACCAGAAATGTGATAGGCATCCAACGGAATGGGATTTCTTTCCACGAAAACTCACTTATGAAGCTTCACTGAAGAGAGCGCTCAGGTTGACGCCAAAAGATTTGACAGAAAAAATAATGAAATGCAAAATAACTTGTACTAGTAGGACGAAAATTATGTCTTGAACTCTAAAGAACTGTTTCCGTGTTAAAAAGTAAAGAAGTGAACTCGGTACTAAAGTATGACCCGACCGAAGCTGCTACCTTGACGCGGTGGTCGGGCTTGCCTATCGTGATGACCCAACCGAGCTATATTGGCTGGAACATATGTTCCTGTAGGTTCTACCATGCCAGGCAGGTCAATTGGAGACCGGTAAGACTAAAAGCAGCAACTCAAGGTCTGAGGGCGAAGTCGTACTGCTGACTGTAGAGGGGTGTGACAGCAGTAAGGTGTTTCCCTTGGACAACCAGCATCTGCAGCGGTGCTGCCATCTCACAAGGAGGGGTGGGGTTAGAAAAGGTCGACCCTAAAAATGTCACACCTCACCTTTGTCACATTCAAATCCTTCGTACACCTCCTAATAACTCTCTTATCTCCACAAATAACCCTCCTCACGTCTCTTTATCACCTCGTGCCGCTAGTGCAAACGATTCGAGTACGCGGAACGCTATTCCTGGTCTCCTGAAACCACGTTCTAAACTACACGTAGGAGCTTTTAACGTCCAGACACTGTACCAAATAGGACAATAGGCTTCCTTAGCTAGGACTTTAGAATCTCGCGCCATCGATGTGTGCTGCGTCTCCGGAACGCGCGTACAGGATCCGAGTAGCATCATTCGTCGTTGCCTATTCGTCGTCTCTGCCTATTCTCCCACTAACTGCAGCCCAGATGATGTAGGAGATGAGTATTACAGAAAGATTTCCGACCTTCTCCGAAAAGCTAGACGCTCTGATGTAGTAATAATGGCCGGTGACTTTAATGCTCAAGTACGTAAACCAAGCGAAAGGGAAAGACACCTAGGTGGATCTTATGGTGTCGTGGCTCAAAGAACAGATAATGGCGACCGTCTGTTGCAGCTATGCTCAGATAACCGCCTCTTTCCTGCAAATACTAACTTCAAGCATAAGGAAATACATCTTTTAACATGGCGACTCCTTAATTCGTCCCAACGTTGGACCCGAATAGATCACGTCACCATCAGCCACAGATGGAGGGGCTCGATAGAAGACTGTCGCTCATTCTGGAGCACATGCTTAGATTCAGATCATGCTCTAGTACGAGCGCGTATCTGTCTGCGTCTTACTGGACGTAAGAAAGACGCTGCAAGTAAACCTCTTAGGGCCCTACTTAATGATAGTCAAACTAAGAGTATATTTCAGGAACAACTAGAAAAACAGTTAGGCAGCCATGTATGTGATGCCCACCCCGAGGCAGCATGGAATGATATCCGAAAAGCTGTGGAAACAGCAGTGATATCTGCTAGTACGGTAAACTGTAGGGTTAGGGAGGAACACTGGATCTCAGCAGCATCTATCACATTGATAGGTGCTCGGAAACTCATTCCTCCTGGGTCTGAGCATAATGAAGGGCGGAGTCAGCTTAAGCACAAGCTAGCTGACAAGAAGTCTACGCAATGATCGCGAACAGTGGTGGGTAGCGAAAGCAAGAGAGATGGAAAAGGCAGCGGCAATAGGTAATAGCAGACAATTGTTCAGACTTGTTAAGGAAACCGGTATTAGGAAACCGATAGTTAGCGAAACAATTTTAGAGAAAAACGGACATATTATACATTCTCAATCCAGGAGATTGGATCGATGGGCAGAACACTTTAGGGATCAGTTCAACTGGCCTTCAGCCACACTTCGGTTTCCCACGATCTCTGGTCAACTTGAATGGCAAGTTAACGTAGGTCCTCCGTCTCTTTACGAAGTTGATAAAGCCATAGGAAATCTGAAACGAGGGAGAGCAGCAGGCCCTGACAGGTTTACTCCTGAGATTTTTAAGGATGGTGGTCCAGTATTAGCAGTGAGATTAACTGAGGTCTTAGGTAGAATTTGGGAACTCGACGTAATCCCATCTGACTGGTCTCAATCACTGATTGTGCCAGTCTATAAGAAAGGACAAAAGTCCTCTTGTAACAATCACAGAGGAATCAGTTTGACAAATATAGTGTCTAAAATATTAGCCTCAATAATACTTCGACGCCTAACTAAAGCTCGTGAAGAACAGACTAGAGTAAATCAGGTTGGTTTTCGACCTGGACGTGGTTGTATAGACCACATATTCACACTAGGTCAGGTTCTAGAACACAGACACACGTTCAGACGCCCCACAATGGTAGCATTTCTCGACCTTAAGGCGGCATTCGACTCTGTCGATCGTGAGGTTCTATGGCAGTGTTTGTCACTGAAAGGAGTACCAAAGAAGTACATTAACCTTATAAAGGCTCTCTACTCGAACACAACTGGTAGAGTGGGAGCTTATGGCAAACTGTCATCAGAATTGATTACCTCAAGTGGTGTTCGTCAGGGCTGCCCACTCTCTCCATTCTTATTCAACTTTGTGGTCGACGTACTTTTAGAGATAACACTTTCCTCGTCTAGATTTTCAGGGGTCGAACTTCTACCAGGAGGTTCACTTGTTGACTTAGAATATGATGATGACATAGTTTTATTTGGTGAAGACGCTGATAAAATGCAGTCTTATGACCACTCTAAGCAACAATGCAAGCATGTTCGGGATGCGATTCTCTCCCTCGAAATGCAAAACGTTGCTTCAGGATTGGGTTACATCGACACCTGAACTAATGATAGGGAGTGAAGTAGTTGAGTGTATCGACCGCTTCACTTATCTTGGAAGTCTGATCAGCCCTTGTGGTCTGGTGTGTGACGAAATCTCAGCACGGATACGGAAGGCTCGACTAGCTTTTGCCAACTTGTGTCATTTATGGCGTAGGCGAGATATCCGTCTATCAACCAAAGGACGTGTTTACTGCGCAGCAGTTCGTTCCGTCCTACGTTATGGCAGTGAAACATGGCCGGTAAGAGTAGAGGATATCAGTAGGTTACTAGTATTTGACCATAGGTGTCTTCGAAATATTGCTCGTATATCCTGGGACCATCGAGTAAGTAATGCAGTTGTTAGGAAACGGGTACTAGGTAAGGATGGCAAGTCAATTGATGACGTAGTGAAACTTCATCAGTTGAGATGGCTGGGACGTGTTACGTATGCCCAACGACCGATTGCCTCGACGTGCTATGTTCAGTGGTATAGGAGTAGGTTGGAAGAAAGCTAGGGGTGGCCAGAACAAAACATGGCCCCAAGTCCATGAAGTCACTGACAAGTGAATTGAGCCACGTTGGTAGGTGTAGACTATCTTGTTGGGGACCGCGAGATTATAACAACCGATGGTTAGAGACCCTGAATGACATGGCTCAAAATCGTTTGCAATGGCGCAGGTGCATCCACTCTTTGTGTTCTCCCAAATTCTAATCTTCTAAACTCTTCATGTCCCTTTCTTTTTTCTCTTTCCAAATTTATTTCACTGTATTATACTCTTTAAATAACATCTCCAAACCCTAATCTTCCCGATTACTGCTTATACTCTTGCTACCTCTACCACTACGGGATTTGAATCGACAAGTGCATCTCTGTGCTAATGTGGTGTGGTAAATCGAACTGATGTACGTACGTACGAAGTTCTGTGTTGGTACTGACTGACTGACTAAAGTATGAAACTAAACTTTTCTGTAGTTGATGATAGGTTAGTACAAAGCAACAAGTTTATAAACCATATGTCTAAGAAACGAAATCAATTAACAAAGAAACTATGCTCACCTGGATTTTTGCTAGAGGAATAATATCACCATCAACTGGTTTCTCCCAAACGGTTTCTCGGGTGGTACTATTATAATAGTAATTTCTTTGGACTTTTATATCGAACAATTCCCACCATTGATTGGGTGAAACAGCTTTACTAGAATTAGAACAAAAAATGATGACTAACGATATGAAAGAATGGAAGATTAATTCAACTAAGTCATACATCTTAACATGCTGCACAGCAACTTGATGATTGTTTACTTAGTAGAATGAGGCGATCGATGATACGGAACAATACATAAGAACTGAGAATTTTATTTCCTAATAGGTTAAAATGACGATACGATCTAAACTACACGTTCGAAAAAACTTGACATGGTAAGACTATACAGAAATATGTAGTAGAAATGACGCGACTTCTAAAATGTGAAACCAACATTCCAGTGTAATGGGGTTTACGAATATTCAGAGGTTTATCTCTGTTTAATGAAATTTAAGATCAAATGAGTAGTAGATGTGATATGATGGACAGGAATTAGAACTGATAGTAAAGCCTTAATTAATTAGAGTGAATTCAATTATAGCAAGATCCATTAGTTTATTATTTGCACCTGATACTAAACCTGGGGTCCTACCTCTTTAGAGAAACGACTTGAAGACTTATATAGCTTAGTAGTACTGTAAGGTTGTCTAATTTATGTTGTGGCACTTCTACAAAAGGAGCAAACACCATCAAACAATTTCGATAGGTTATATAATCCAAGGGTTTTCTGTGATGATGAGATCAGGATCGATATCCAAGGCTTCAAGAACCTAATGAACAATTATGATAAAAAGAAGTGAAGAAAGAAAGAAGGTTCTCTTTGATTAACCCCACATGAGCCCCCAAATGCCCTGGTACGGCCGAGAGTGGGGAGAGTCCGCTCTCCCTCTCGAAATGCTCTCACATGGCCACGCATACATAGCCTCTGCCAGGGAAGTTCTACTCACTGCCTTCTCGTGGCGGGGGTGTTGTTTACGAAAACGAGAGGACGAAAAGCGAATGTCCGGCGCTTTAACCGGGTTCAAAACCAATGGTGCACATGGGCTCCAGTATCCTGCGGGAACAAATGGCGGATGAACCAGTCGTTGGTCACCGGCTTCCATGGGACCGCATCTCCTTACGATGCTCCACTGCCTTGTGGATCAGACATTCAGGTCGAAGGCTCGGGGAGTGGCACCCTAAGAAAACCACCTGCTTCGGTTTGGGCACCCGGGCAGTATCACAGCCCTCACACATCGAATGAGATTTGTGTGGCGCATATGTATTTGGTGCCTCCTTGTACCAATATCTACGTGTTAAAATAAATAAATAAATAAACCCCACATGATAATGTATAACTATAAATACATAATACTGAGGCTGTTTTAACTAAAAAAAGCGCACAAATCTGAGATAAGTATGTCGCTTACTGACTTATAATGTTACATACATTTTATTTTGCTACACGTTAGGACTAACGACAAGTGGTGAACGAGTCTTGAATTGTTGGAATGATTAAGTAAAATGTCAGTCGATATATGAGAGAAAAGATAGAATGTGCCTGAATGAAACCTACTCATGAGATTGAATTTCTGACTCAAACCTTGGAATTAACTGATATAAAGTACAAGATCGTTAGCCGAAACGATAATTTTTTATCTAGTGAAATACCTTGCATACATACAAATTAAAACGTAAATAAGCTTGGTTAAATGTCATAGGCGATTGGAGGCAATTACTTCCATAGGTTGCTAACTCTACAACAAATTCAGACCCCACTCTTAGACTTAATTCCTGTCCATCATATCACATTTACTACTGGTGTTTTGAACTTTGGATATTCATAAACTCTCTTACAATGCAGTGTTGAATGAATGTTTGAAAATTTGCATCGTCAACAATGCAGGCTTTTAAAAACGGACGGCCGATTTATTAAACCACGTCCGAGATAATAATAATAACAATAGGCATATGAAATGGATTTTATTGTTTAGACTAGTGGTTTATACGTTGGTAACAACTGTGTCTCATATCTACCGAATCTATCTGGTTCAAGTGTAAAGGACCGGTACAACTGACTGGTAAAATCCGTATTTTTCCCAAAGTAGGACATAAATAATATGACTAATATCCAAGTTAGTCGTCAGATTTTTTGGGAAACGAACAAATTCGACTAATAATGGATACAAAAATTGATCATCGAACAAAAAATCAATGAATCTCAGTACTTAACATAAAACTACACTGCATGTGTAAACACTAGTGATACAACCAGATTATCCGAAAGGAATTGTATGGAACGAGGTTTAAGTTCGCAACCTCATGGTTGAAAACTGATGGCTATAACCACCAAAATATCGTTCTAATGATCGGATTCCCTTCTGTAACTTAAAATCCTTAAAATAATTGGATATGAACTCTATTCTTTTCGAACTCTCAACTTCATGTTTAAGGATGGCTTATTATTATTATTATTATGATCACATTAGTGGCTACGACTCACTATTGTGTATTTTTGGGAGGATCTCGGCTGCATTCGCCAGACTTCAGATTGATGTACATCAATTGCTGAGATTTCGGATCAATTAGCTGAACCCATTCATATCTGAAAATAAATGGGAATACGTTATATTCAAGAATACGTATTACTGGCAACAACAATTTCGTAAACAAACAATATAATGGGAGTGTTTACGAATGTCATGTTAGAAGACCAGAAGATTTTAGATGATAGTTTCAGGAGTGTGAGAATCGGGGGACATGCTGGAATAACTTTATATGGATAGGAAATCGGAATTCAGTATTGTGGAACAAACCAGTATATAACGAACATATATGTAACATATATTTTTACACGGTCTGAATAGTAGCAAGGAATAAAAAAACCAACACCAGCACCCAAAGCTACCTTTACTATTAGAGTGATGCAGTACTGTAAAAGTCCAAAGCGCTAAATGATCAGTACACATTGCTGGGTGAAAAGAAAGATATTTTACGACTACGTTTTTAAGAATATATAAATATATCCACTTCCCTCTAAATGATTAGACAGGCTTAAACGCTACTATTTAGATATGACGATTGTTGATTAGCGATGGGAAGCAATGTGCTTCAAAAATGGAGTAAATGGCCCAGATGTAATTATGAATAAATTTCATCTACTGCAACACATCAATTTCACACAAAGATATTGATGTAACTACGGACTCTTCAGTAGGCTAGTTTAATAGGTTGAACTGTTACTTATTAGCCGTCAGACGGCCATTCCCTAGCTGAAGCAGTGAAAGACGACAAGGGCAAGGTATTAACATAATTACTAATTTCTCCCTTACAAAGAACGTACTATTTTCACTTATCGAATAACTATTGAACAGCCATCTCATTACTTTACTAAGTGTTTTAAACAAATCACTCCTTGTGAAGCAAACTCAACATCAGCTTAGGCATTCCAATCTATAAAAAACTGTCGAAATCACTGAAAATATAGTAATCACGGAAATATGCTACCGACATCTGAAACCGGCATCAACATCAAGACTCTAAAGCAAACCAACGAACTACCAATGGGTCAACAAAACAAAACCATGTGATAATAACAAATACATAATGCGAATGTTATATATCATAATATTATTTAAGGTATAAAACTACATCTTCCGGTCAGACGTAATAAGTATTGCTACATGGCTTCTACATCCTGCCAGACAGTACCAGGAGAAAGTGTTATCCAACTTTGTACAATATTTCTGAATAGACACATTATTTATATTACGTTCCAGGATTTTAAATATTTATCATAAATTCATTGAATAATACCAATGGGATATAGGCGATAACAAAGACAGACTTGCCTATTAAAATCACTAATATCCATAGCGCTGATGAAGCTGTATTGTCAGTACGAGAAAATCAATCATTCAAAAAACATTCTTGAAAAAGCCATATCGAGAACTACATTACACGCAGAGTTCAAAGCAAACAGCGCGCTAAATGTCTGAATAGTATAAAACTTGATTATCCCTGTAACGAGAAGTGATTTGTAATCTTATTCGAACAGATAATTTGATATCAGCTTTTTAACATTTTGTTTTTCTCGACTAATTTAATGCGCGCTAGATTTCGGTACAGCTGATATCTTGTCGCGTATACGTTTTCACTTTGAATTTCAGTATCTCAATGATGCCAAAGTATTCCAGCAGTAATCCACAAAGCCGTGAGTAAAATCATGACATATTAGGCAATGTCAGATGAGTTTGCTTATTCAAAATGTCGACATAGTATGAAACCACGAAATTCGTTCACAAAGACATGTAGTGAACTACATCCTGTATGTATAATATATGTATACCAGATAATAAACAACAATCTGTCAAAACTTTTTAAACACAACTACATGCCATACACATTTCTAAGTGGTAACACGATGATTTTGTTAATTTTGTTGGGTTAACCATGAATCGGATGTTACTGTATAGTACTTGCACTTTGGTCTTTCTTGTGGCCTAAAAATCCTCTCAAGTATTCTTGCGATCAATTGCTTAGACATGGAGTTTTATCCCGTCGATTTTGCATGCGTTTTCATGTCTACGATTGTTTTGACAATAGTCCAAAATGACAAATTACTCATTAGAATACACTTGATATAATCCGTTGAAACTCCTGAATAAGTTACCCTCTCCATTCAGACTATTTATATTCAGACCCTAGTGATGAGCTTGCCAATAATCTCATAGATTGTCTTTAAATGCCAGTCTTGTTGTTCCTAGTGCCTGATATAAACTAACGAAGATCCCGCCTGTTGTTTGATTCAGTCACCCTTTACATCTAAGTAATGTGTATTCAACAAGCCTTGTTATCTTTGCATAATAAAAAGTTTACTCAGCAAGTGTATAGTGGTGATATGCTTTTAGTTTATGTGGTTCAGTAAGTGTACCAATCTTTTCTAGATTTTATTATTGCACATTACATAAATATCTTTCACTGGTTTGAAGTATGCGGTAATCCCTTTTATTGAGTCATAAACAAGTTTGTTGTTATGTGTACTTGGCAAACGTAGTAGGCTTAACATCAGACTCCTTTGCAATGTAGAGTAACATTAATTGGTTGATGACCATGAAGCCTTACGGACTATTCCTGTGTCAAATATTTCTGCATTTTCGGACAGATACTGACAACAAAAACGTTATATGTGGCTGATACTAACTCATACATAAATCAAATCCTTGGCCGAACTACTGGTTAGTAATAAAATCTCTTCACAGGTACACAAACGTATCCTTTGATTAATTACCACATTGTGTAGAAATGAACCAGAAGAAAAGCTCAGAACTATAGGTGATGATTGGGCCTGCTCACAGAAACCTCATTTTCCGTTTATATACCTTTAAACTGCTGTATGTTAGGAAGTTCCGAGACATTAAATTCAAGTTATTACAAGCCTTAAAGTCAATGATATATTGTGTTTATCATCAGTCTTAGAGCGAACGTTACTTTCAAATTTATCTCTAGTCATATTTTGACATTCGGATCCCATGATACTCGGTAACTTTATGAACCTTACTACAGTCCCTGAAAATTTTGATTACTTTATAAAGGTAGATGGTATTATATTCTCAAAAGTCTAGAAAATCAACTCGTTGAAAATAAATTTTCCTGGTTTTTTGTTATTTAGGCAAAAATAGACCACTTAAACGAATCTCCCCTCGTTGGCGTAGTACTTTTCCTATTTCGTTAAGTCAGCTACAAAGGAAACGTGATGAATTTTGGGATACAGCTCCAGCTGCTGAAGGCAGAGTTGAGATTTGGAATGCTCTGAAAGTAGTTGCTGATTTTTTTCAAAAACAAGATTATGATATGGCTCAAGCGATTTTAGATGGAGCATGTATTACTCTTCCATCAGGTAAAGATTTTGATGTATTCCCTAGCAATATTTGAATACTTTGTATACCTACTCGATTTAGTACATTAAGCTAAAATTTTGGGAAACTGCAGATGGTCAGATAGATAGGTAACTTCCTTTGTTATATTCTAAACTGTTGGATGCTCTTTCTGTAGAGTCTCACGTACTATAAAGATTGATCAAAAAGTTTGTCCACATGTGTTAAGGCATGAACTCTGATGTAAATCACATTGTAAATGATAATATGCAATTTACATCAGAATCGTACTACATTGTAGTTAGTTTTTTATGTGCGTTCTCGTCATATTTTTTTAGCAATTTTCAGAATTTCGCCGAAAGTTTTTTGCACCTTCATTGGTTCATTGGTGTAAAAAGTTACCATGAATAAAAAACAGCTCAATGTGCATTTAGGTGAACTAGACTGGATATGTTTAGTTTGTCCTAGTGAGGTGTAAGTGAAATGTAGAAACTTCTGAAAGCTGATTTTAGTAGTAGTCAGATCTGACTCTTCAAACCAATATGTTTGTAGCTCTAACTTACCGATTTAGCCATTACTTAATAACCGATTGTAACCCCGCTCCATTCACTACTCTGTCATATCCTCATGCGAAAGGCTTCGTTATTGTGGTGTTAGATATCGTCAGCAAATGTAATAATTTAACGTTTGTGTAATAAAATGTCTGGGTTGCTGAATCGAATATTTAAGGTACAGCAATGTTTTGTATATAAGCAGTCATATTGTCTAAAATATTTGTGTATTTGAGGCAATTAATTAAAGTTGAGCATGTAAATCTTAAAACTTCTAACTAATAATGTGGTACAATGCTACAGTTTGAAGCTAATTAAGATGATAGTTATACACTGCTTTCATCTGCAGAAATCCATAAGATACCGAAAAAACGTAGTGGGCGAAAGGTGAGGTATAAAAGTGTGTGATATTAATAATGTATTCAGTCTGGTTTTATTCAAGTAAGTTGACTTCGGTAATCAAACTCGTTCACTTCATTTGTATTGCTTCCCTTGGCATACTTATTTACTTCATTCCTTTGATCATTAATTATAATAGGTATGTGTTTATATCCAGTAATTATTATATTATCGCATACCACTTTATTTTACTGTATAATACGTATAGCTCATATATAAATAACTAAAACTATGATTATATTATATACATTAGATGCGTTTATTTATTTTTAACGTTAGGAACATTGTATGACTGCTATGATGAACTTGGTGCTCATTATCAGCTTCCATTATACGTCTTAAGTCAGCCAAGTAATCTCATTCCAGATCCATCTACTCCTGATTCACAAAGCTTACACTCTCAACCAAATATATCTGCTGTGCTCAGAAATTCAAATACCTACACTTCAGGCTTTAATAACACAAGAGTTCGTTCTCATCAACAATGTGCCGATAGTAATAATGACCCATCAAGTAACGATGTGTGTGGGTGTTTGTCATTGTTCAATGCATTTTGTCATAGAAATCGCAGGAACAGAGACGGATCACCTCATTGGTTACAATGGAACTTTAATTCGTGCAGACGTGATCATGATCAATCAGCATGTGACAAAATTGATCCTACACACCATAATTCATCATCTCCACCATCATCTTGTCTTAATTTAAGATTATCTACTGGTGAACAGTATACACTAGAAATCGGTGATCAAAATATCACAGTTTTGGAAGCCAAACGTTTATTTACTTCACTGTGCGGTTGGCATGAGCTTAGACAGCGTTGGTTTGTGTGTGGTCGTTCTCTCTCCAATCGACTTTCGATTAAAGACTGTCATATACCATCGGGTTTTGTTATCCAAGTTATTGTACACTCACCATTCGATCCTGAATGTTTATGGAAACAAGGGAGTAGATCTGCAACTAGTTCTGTAGTGGAAGCCATTATCTCTTAGTAGTAGTAGTAGTAGTAGTTAGTCATTCACTTTTCACTACAAAATATTGACAATCTGCATTTCTATTCATTTAATAAATTCGTTCTTAGATGAGTATTTTACAATCATAACATTGTATATATTAACTCTCATCAATCATTACCTCACTCACTATTAGACAAATTAAATAATCCTACACAAAGTGACTTTGTTGCTCTGTAATGTAATCGTGTCAATGTCTCATTAGCTTTTATGTGGTTCATAATTTCATTTTTGTTTTTTTCTTTACAATTGTACATCATGATATAACTTTAACGTTACTTTTTATATTATTATATTATACTCTTGTATAACTAGTTACTCTATCTGTTATAGGTTACCTCATTTAAATGGAATATTGATTTGATGAATAATGTTTATTTATTTATTTCTAAAACCAATGGAGTTTTTGTTTTCCTATTCTTAAGATTTAAACATTAAACACTGGAATGCTCATTGTTCAACATGTAAATCTACGGTTGTTTTACTAATTTATACATCTGACCTGAACATGTCCTCTATACGTTGGTTGTTTATGCTTGTTTATTTGTTTTATTCTTAATTTGCTGTATTCCATTTTCTTTGTGATAAATAACGTCTTTTTTGCCTTTTTTTCTGTTTGTAAATGATAATTTCACCATTTTTTAAGAAACGTTTCTTATCTTAATAGTTGTGCTTGTGTTTATTTTTGTCGTTGCTGCTTTTTGCTTCATTGTTCCTTTGTTCTAAACTTTCCTTAAGCATACATACACGTCTGTCTATAGTTTTTTTCATTTGTTTTTGCTTCTGATCATTTAGTTCGTTCGAACATGTCTTTGTTTTGGTGATTTTTTCGTACTACTTTGCACCTTTATTATCTTGATTTCGTATTGAGTTGTTACATTTACCGTTTGTTTCATGCAATGATATCTATGTGGTGAAGTAATATCATTTATCTCTCATGTAGTACATTTTATAAATATATATACATATATCGACGTGCAGAACTTACAGTAGTTTTGTTTTATGACTGATCGAAAATGTCACATTTATTTTTATGTTTATAATTAGTCTCTTACATTCACTTTTAGTTAGTTTGTATTTTGAAAATATTTTTACATCCCTACTGGTTCTACTTTTTGTGTGCATCATGTTTACACGTAATTTTTTGATGTTGTTTTTTCTTTAAACTCATTCACAGTTAGCAGATATTTTTATTGTTTTTGTCTGTTCGATTGATTTTTATTATGTCTACAAATGCTACGGAATTTTTATGCATTAGTTAATTCTAGATTCCTAATCAACATAACATAGTTGATTGTTTAGCGTAAAATTGATTATTTATAAGAACTTCCTTCTAAAATTGAACGAATAGTTTCACTATATTTGGGCGTCGAGTTAATATAAGACATTAAAATAAAAATTATATTTGTAAAAATTTCAGTGTTTGAACTTAAAATAAACCTAACATTGCCCTCAGTAATCTAGTCTAAATGTTTGAAGAGAAATAACCAAAAATTATAAGCAAAGATGAATGGTGGCTGGTAGATGAATGCAGGACGCGCGTTTCGTCCTGTTTGGGAATGGTCAACTGGATTCCACTGCTGGCCACCATCCACCTTTGCTTAAAATACTTGTGACTTAAGGCAATACAGAAACAAGATGCATATGTCAATAAGAGACTGATCGATTGCAGTCCTAAACATCAGTGGGAAGATTCCTACAAACAATACGAAAATGAATTACAAATAATCAAACTTCAAAACTATTGAATACAAATACATGGTTCACAAGTTAACTGTGCTTTAAACTAATCCTCCAATCCTGTTAGCGATTCTAAATGTGAAGTTTGTTGTATTGCATATGAGTAATTTGATATGAAAAGTGTGGAAATCGTGGTAAGATAATAGCTGTATGTAGATCTGATGTAAGGGAAATAATTTGGCTATACATAGCCTCAGATTATGGTCATTGGTGAAATTAGACAGTCTGATAAATGTTATAAATCAAGTTTGTCACAGTATACATAGGATGTGGTCAATTAAATGTAAGTTTGTGTTACTGGCCTAAGAAAGCTGGTTGTCCATCGTAAATCTAAACAAATGAAAGTACACCATTGTTGTCCACAAAACACGAGATAGATAAGAAGCAGTCAAATAAAATTCAGATTTACTTATAAGTTGCTATGAGACAGCTAGTCGTATTCCATCCCTTATGTGTAGGGCCTCCACTGCCAATATGTCTTTGTATGAAGTAAAACGTTTTTGCAGCCCGTTTTTACATTGAAGTCAATTGTATGTCCACATTTTAATGATTCTAATACTATCGCTAACTTCTCGTTTTGTTTTTTTTTTCTTATATTTTCGGGTGATTTACGAATATGCTTCAATTAAAGTCTGTTTGTTAACTACATGAGATAAACGACATCCACTTATTAGTATTTTGTTGTTATAATTTTAATCACTATCAGAAAAATAGTTTCAATTAATGCAAGAAACACTTATTGATAGTATCTTCAAAAGCTGATGATTTCATTTCATCGGACAGAAAATTAGTAATACAGTGATCTCGATATTATACAGAGCTGTAAGGTTAAATAATCTGTAAACTACTTTATAGGTATTTCGTAATATCTACCTGGTACATAATCCCATTTTTCTTGTCACGTTCATCGGAAATATTAATTGCATCGATATTGCTTCCTTTCAATCGTGACAATCAAAATGTTTATTTGTTATTCATGAAGAGGAGTAAGTTTTTGTGAGTGTACAATATCCATTCGATTTATATGCTAAGATCTTTACAAATATGCATGCATTCAGAGGGAAGTATGTCACTTTTTTTTAACTCCCTGTACTATAAAAAATTATCTCGTTTTAGAAAGTTGTAAATTTCATATATTCACTTTAACGGCTAATGACTGTCTCATTGATGATGATAATCGGCTGCAATTAAACGCAACTCGATCTCGTAAACGTGGCTGTCTGCTTAGCGACCAATCCGAATGAGGCGGGAGTTATTATATCCGCCATCTTTGTAAGCAATGGCGGTCGGCTTTCCTCGTTCTGTGTTTTTTCAGCTATTTCTTTTGTGTAGCCATATAATTTAATGTTTCAGTGTGCTAAAATGCCGCAGTTATTGTAATACTCTAAATGTCGGCGCAAATTTTCTTATATTCAGCGTTGTTTTCTGGGTTTTTGCTGCTGCTACTCAAGTCGACGTACTTCTTCAGGCAAGCTGACTAGTCTTGTATTATAAAATGTTAATCTGTTTTACTTTGAGTATTTTTACAGATATGGAGAACCAAAGTTAGTTTCTTTTTTTAGCTAAAATAGGTGTTGCTGCCACATGGGACTCTGTCTAGTTATTTAATAAAAAAATACATTATAAAATGACAAGTTCTATGATTACATGAACGCAGATATGACCGTTATTACACGGGGTGATACATTAGGTTTACATGGGAACGTTGAGGATAAATCCACCATGATAATCAGTAGACGTTGGCTAACATTTGACAACGATTAGTTGTCTTGGCTAGTTTCATTAAAACAAAATAAATGTTTTGATTGGTTGAAAGTGTCATTGAACAATTACGGAAAAATAAACAATAATATTAAAAATAATAGTCAATAAACCATGTTGGATTAATGATGAATATTTTGCCGTTCATCATGCGAGTATATAAATAGTTTATTCTGTTGGTTAATCAGAATTTATTGTAAGATCCGTTTTGGATGTTTGGTGTGTGTGAAGATCCTTCCATGTATACACTTGCACTTTGTTCCTATTGATTCACTTAGTTGTACATTGTTAGTCTTTTGATTACATGTGGGTTGTTAATATTTGTATTTTTTTTATTATAGTTTTTATTTTTCTTACGCCTTCACTAAGTTTTTGTGTTTCTTCCCGAACCGCATCTATGTTGTTTTACTTGATAATTATTCTTGGCGGCAGCCATATTGATTTTGTTGTAACGGGTGTGTGTGACTGCAGGTTATGCTAGGCAGCGTATTTATTGATCGGCTCTGTGACAGTGGCCCGTAACACGTAAACATGTAAGGACGACCTAGTGCCTGATTGGCCCTGCCTCGCTGTCTGTCCTAGCCAGTTGAGTCAAGAACACAAGTCACAGCCTCGGAGATATGAATCATTGTATTTCAAACATACTCTATTTATATACCAAGCAAACAAACCACATCGTACCATAAAATAGGAAACAACATTTGTACAATATTTAACAAGTGAAATAAACATCGACCAATAAGAAATGTACATTTAAGGTTCAAGGACACCATTGAACTTAACATGATAATTATTGGTCTCTTTTTCCGACTATCCTAACACCTCCCCTTTTTCGAAAGATGCGGAGTTCATATCTGCGTTTTAAAATTTTCTGCGTCCGTCCTCCCCCGCGAAATAACGTTGGGTCTTCATATACCCAAGTAACAGTTAGTCTGACTCTATTTAAAGCATATTTCGCGCATTGAGTAGAGGGTTCACTAAAACTGACTAGATGATAAGGATTAGCGACACCAGACATGAGGTCATTAAGGTTTGATTCTTGTGCAACATATTCTTCAGACCTCTTCAAAATTCCATCAGTGGGTAATAGGTCACTAATATAAACAGCATCTTTGAAATTCCTATTGGATTTCTGACCATTATTTGATGCACGGGAAACATTTTCTGGCACGAGGGGTTCTTCTTGTAAGCTGGATACCTCACATGTTTCAGGCACAGTGGGATTTGAACCCACAACAGGGCATGCTTCTGAATCGGGCACTTCTGAATCGCTGGACGGATTATGAGCGACTGCCTCATTTGCATTACTGACCATAAGGGATTCATGGAGGCTTTTGTTTTTATCTTCATATGTCCTGCAGTCATTCTCGAGTTCAGTACGTAAGTGAGAAATGAATTCATCAGTTTCTTTCACATCTCCGAAACATGGGAGATCTAGCAGAAGCGTGCGTAAATAATCCAAAACACGCTGTTGCTGG